AAATACTACTCAAGAGAATCAATCACATCTGGTCTGAAATATTAAGACATGCTTACAAGTTACAGGCCGCTTTAGACGGTATGATTTTCGCCTACAACTATCGTATACAACACGCTCATGCCATCCTACAACTCGAGTCGTAGCGTGTAAATCAAGCGTACTACGTACACGAGCGTGTAAGTTAAACACAAGATTACAATATGGCGATATTACATAACAGAATTGGGTTTCCTGTCTCACCAACCTGTTTTGAAAGTCTAGGAATGGTTTTTTAGTCCTCAAGTCCAGTCCCCTAAATTTCATCCAATCAGAAGCTGCGACATTTCTTGAACCCAATTTCATTAACAGTGTGCAGTATTTGAAGAGGGCAACTGTGTTATCTAAGAATTACAAACAGATCCTCTGGTTTAGTAATGTAAAAGTTGAAAAATCTTATCTTTGCTCTTTCTTTCTTTGTTCGTTCTTTCCTCTCTTCAATCCATTCTTCCTTGCCTGATTTATTCCTTTTTTCAAGTTAAAGTATTTTTTTTACTTTCTCCTCCGTGTTTCCCTTTTATTCTCGTTTTTTCTTTCGATTCTTCTCTTCTTTCCTTTGTTCCTTCCAATCTTCTTTCTTTCCTTTATTCCTTCCTTCCTTCCTTCCTTCCTTCTATTCTTCCTACCTTTCCCATTACTTTCACTGCTGACACCACATACCTGGATCACAAAGCGAACTTTGGTGCAGTTCTTCCAAACCCTCCTTCTCTTGATCGAGCAACTGAAGCATCACTGATGCTCTTATTAAATGTGCTTGTGACTGGAACAAAATTGGAAAAACAGATTTACCCTGGCTTGTCTCGTTTTCAAGTGCTTCAAAATGAATTTGGCCCAGTAGGAGTACAAATTTCAAGTCAAGGGTGGGTGGGGTGGGGTATATCGTTCTAACTTGAATCTCATTGGTCGAGAATTTGTCTCAAGAGAGTCATGTAACATGATTTTTAACAATCTTATAAATAATACAAAATATAACTTTTTTGCCTGGGTGAAATGTTTTTCATTTCAGATCACATGTCATTCCCTAGAGTATCATTTCTTTGTTTTGCGCACGAGAAGACACACGAATATGGATGTAACAAACTAAAACAAAGAATATTATTCTCAAGAGAATGACACGTGATCTGAGGTGGGAAAACATTACGCCCAAGCGAAAGAGGTGTAGTCTATACCTTAATTTGATGCAGTTTCTTACGCTCCAATTCTATTTCTTTGTTTTTGTAACATTTCGTAGTTTGTGTGTCTGCTGTGATAACACCTCTTGAATAGTCTTAAAAGATAAATTGATAAAATAGCCTATGATGAATATTAGTTCTACCTGCTAAGAAATCTCACTGTAACAAATTGCTCATAGTCAAGTGCTTTCTCATGGCTGTTTCGTGAGTAACCCTCATTATTATGAACAGTTCTTAAGTATTATATTACAATACCCGATTCGAGTTTTCTTCGCTTGAGCTCTCTGTTACCGTTACTATCTTCTTCATCACCAAGTGAGGAAATGCAGTTCTCTAAAGCAACAAAAACCCTGAAATAAAATACGAGAAATAATACATGTTTATTAAAGTAGACCTTATTCGTTGCGTTACAATGTTTTTCCATTTCAGACCATGTGTCATTCCCAAGAGAATAGGATTCTTTGTTTGTTTTGTATCCCTATACCTGTGTCTTCTCATGTGCAACCGTTAAACAAAGAAATGGGAAAACATTGTAACGCAACGAATTAGGTCTACACCGTCTACTCCCCGTCCATATTCCGTACGGATTTACGTCATATAACAATAGACCTCTTTAGTTCAGGCGCTACGTTTTCCCATTACAGACCACGTGTCAATCTCTTGAGAATACGATTCTTTGTTTGAGTGAACCGTTAAACAAAGAAATAATACTCTAGGGAATGACACGTGGTCTGAATAGAGGTCTATTTCGGACCACGTACCAATGTCTTGAAAATATGATGCTTTTTTGAGTGGTGTCCAATACATGTGTCCTCTCAAATGCAACCATTAAACAAAGAAATGATACTCTAGGGAATGACAAGTGGTCTGAATAGAGGTCTATTTCGGACCAAGTACCAATCTCTTGAAAATATGATGCTTTTTTGAGTGGTGTCCAATACATGTGTCCTCTCAAGTGCAACCATTAAACAAAGAAATGATACTCTAGGGAATGACACGTGATCTGAAATGGGCAAAAATTACGTCCTAGGTAAAAGGGTCTATTTTCCAGTCAGTAAAATAAAAGAACGACATAAGAAAAATAAATTTTGTAAATTCTGAATATTCAATTATTTCAATAAAATAAAAAAAATAAAATAAAAAAATCAACCAAACACGTGACGTTYGTACAGATGCTACCGAAATGTTTGTCGTGTTAAAATTAACCAAACATTCCTAAACTCCTTGGTTACTGTTGTTAGGTGTAAAGGACAAATACAACCATGTGACATCAAAGTGGCTGTCGGCGCTTTTGTCGCGTGGGCCTAATTAAGGGTCCCGAAACTCCTTAGTTACCGTTGCTATGTGTTAATCACAAGCCCAACCATCCTACTTCATTTTTTATTGGAAAAAAATGTTAAGTTAAAATATTGAATTCTATTGTTTTACTCAAGACATTATGGGATGCTGGGGGCAACTATTGGAACATTTATAGACTGCACAGCTGTCAGGGTGTCTTTTTATATAACTTTACGCTTTTCAATGAGAAGTACATCTAAAAAGCAATTGAATTTACTGGTACTTGGAACAATATGCGAAACACCAAGACTTCAAATTGTTTGAAAACATAACCTCTTCGCTCTATGCTTTAGGAATTATCCATGAGTTTGCACCCTTGGTATCCCGTAATTCAAGATGGCCGCTGTATCATTCTATTCGTCATCATTAGCCTTGCGCACGTGCGTACTCAAGGAAATCATTTCGTTTGCGCATGCGTACACTTCAGCATGTTTTCTAACGCTCTCGTACCCAGAGCCTGCGATTCATCTGGCCTGCGGCGAAGAACGAGGGCTCTGGCATAATCCATTTTTTGAGATCAGGGTTTCTTGGACTTCCGGTATAACAGCGCATGTGTTCGAAGACTTGCCAAAAATTAAAAAATATTTTCCCGATTTCAAATTTTTACTATGATCTTTACTTTGACTTTGACTTTTTATATTTATACACAAAAAAATTAAAATAAAATGAACTCGAGTATTCATGGTTAGAGTAGAACGACAGTAAAATTATCCTTAATAAAGTTATTTTATTTTCTATCGACACTACTTTGGCAAATGTGATGACGAAATTTATCATCAATAAGAGGATAGACACAAAAATCTAACTTTACGATAACTGAAAAACGATATAAAATTTYGTTTTTAGTGATCAAAACCATCAAAGAAAAGCGCGCAAGTTGACATTTGACCTATTTTCGTAATTGTCTTCGTTGTAGTTAATCAAAAATTGATGAGTTGCAAGCATTCCCAAGAGAGTCAAAAGACAGAAACATGGCGGCCATTGTGGTACCGTTAACAATGGATGCTAATGAGAAATATTTTCATTTTTGTTAAATGGCACCAACAATCGAAAAAGTATAGTCCTCAAAATTTAACAGAACTCAGATAGACATTCCTCAAGTTCGAAGACGTCAAATCAGTGTCGTTAATAGGTAATTTGTCGTCATTTCCGGTGGCTCGGCCCAGGCCCAAACATCCCGGCCAAGGCGAGGCGCAAAGAAAATATTCTAAAATCTGTAATAGGCCCCTTGCAGTTAGCGGTCACGTATCTGTACTGGTGAGCAAATTTTTTGATTTTATTTTAAATTGATGATTCTTTTTAGCTACTTGTAAAGAACTGAATGAAACGATGTGCAACCAGTGTGTTACGAAATGCAGTTATATCTCTTGAAACAGGTTGTAGAAAGTTTGTTTGCTCACCAGTAAATTTCACCCATGGGAATCAAAATGTTCATTCATTTGCTCTCAGTGAATTAATCAGCACGTGATTACTGAGCTGCAATTTGTATTTGTTTGATATCGAATGGACCCTTCTAAAAATTAGGGACATTAAGATTTGCAAAATCTACGACGGCAACGTCAACCGGAATAACTTCTCTTTGGGGTTCTGTTCATTGGAGATTTCATTTCAAACATTGTCAGTAAAGTCAACTCATCCAAAAGAAAGACAGACACCCGGACACTAAAGTGAAGTTATTTACACTTCCGGTTGACGTCGCCATCGTAGATTTTGGAAATCTTAAAGTCCCTATTATCTTGAATGCGAGGTTGATATAGAAATATAAAAATATTGTCACAAAATCAATCGAAAAAGACAAAAAAATTTTTTTCGTTTCGTTACGTTTTTTTTTTTTTTTTTGCATGCTAGTCTCTCAATCAAGACAGTTTCGAAAGGAATCACACATTGGGTTCTTAAAAATTTTAAATGCTCCCAATTTTAATCGAATCAGGAGCAATGTTCAAAACAAAAGTCCTTCATTCTTTAGCCTTGTGGTTACCGCGAGATTGYTACGAAGACGGCAGAGTGGACTTTTCCCAACGAAGGTATTTCGCTCAATTTCTTCACAAATGCCATTCCTCCTTCTCAACCACATCCTTTCCAACTTTTCCAGCTTTTCTTCTCGACTTTCAGTACAATTTTTGAGCAAAATGCCTCCGTTATCGTGGCTTGAGCAAAACGAATGAGACGTTGATCCATCGCTCTTATTTTTACCACGGTTGTTGTCGACCGAAAGCCCTTCGGAATTTCCACTCGCCTTAAAAATCAGAGCTGGTTCTACCTGGTTGGTCTTACAGAAAATCAGCTTTGTCCAACTCATTTTCAACCAAGGACGGAGATTAATAAGTTGGTTTGATAGTCAAACCTCTTAGATATCACGGTCGATGTGCATGAAAAAGCGAAGAATAAATCAGATACAAAATCCGACCGTTACCGGAATTGGTAAACTGTTTCACTTCAAAAGATGCCGATCCGGCGGCCACGGACTTTGCCGTATGCAAATTAATAGAGTTATAAAGTCGTTAATTGTTAAGAAAGCCATTCATAATCAAGTTWATATTAATTAAGCCTTTCTTACTGTTTTCGCATAACTCAAAAGATGACTCGAGATAACTGGTCGTCGAAGGAGAAAACTGCATTTTTCGTTAACCAAGATTTCAGATTCTTGGCAGGAGATAGTAAATAGATGATCGAACGAACGAGCGAAGGAACAAATAAATGAACGAAACAAATGGATGAATAAACCAAGGAAAAAGAAGTGGTATTGAGTAAGGTAGGTGCGTAACAAACAGGGCCGCTGCGCTCATGGCTATGTTTTTTTTTGTTTTTGTTTTTTCCCTCAAATTCTTCTAGAAGGCCATATTAATCTGGGTATAACGCTTATGGGCAAAGGTTTTAGGGAAGGGCTCTTGAGGTAAGGGCATTTGGGGAAGGGCTTTCGCGGGTAAGAGCTTTTGGGGAAAGAGCTCTTGGAGAACGACTCTTAGGGAATGGCTCTTGGAGAATGGCTCTTGGGGAAGAGCTGACGAGGAAGGGCTTTTGGGAAAGGGCTCTTGGGGGAAAGCTCATAAGGAAAGGAACCCAAAAAAGGGCTCTCGGGGAAGGGCTCTCTGGGAAGGG